TAATATACTTTTAACATTTTTTTTAAATTATAGATTTTTCTTAGCTAAAAAGAAGAAAAATAAGCAGAAAGCAGCATTTCGATTGTAAAAATATAAAAGTTAAACGGCAAATTTATCAATTTATCAAAACTTTCTGCGAATTACTATCGCCAAATTTCTTGTTGACGAGATTTTTATAGACTAAATACAATTATGAAATTCATTTACATTTATTCATTTAATTCAGACAATTTTGACAAATGGTAAAAATCTGATTTTTAATGTTTACTTTATCCAATAATCCCTAAAAAATATTCGCGTACCTTTTCAGGGTCTTGCGAAAATTGCTCCTAGTCTGAACTGCAATGAACAACCTTGCATCGCCGGTCAAAATATCATGGCGAATTGCTATTATGATGGAGAAAGCTGCGGGTCTAACATGATATTTGAAACCGTTATTAGATTATATTCTCCGATAGGCATTGGCTTCGTGAAATGCGTTCTGCTTTGTTCGTGTATAAGCACAGAATTCATTATAGTGAATGGACAGTGTGTGCGTAATTCGCGTAAGGAAATTGGAATTGAATCGCAAAACTTCGAGGTTTTTTTTTGGTATATCTCCAATACATTAATTTAGCGATAAAAATTGAATTTAGAGTGGAATTTTTCGATGAAAAACTATAGAAATTTAAGCTATAAAGGAGTTGAAAAATTCGGTTTTCATATTTATTTGTTCATTTAAAAATTTGCGCTTTTTTGATGAATTTCCATTTTCATGATGAAAATTCAATACAAAAAATACAAAAAATATTGTTATTTTACTTGCATCTATCGGAGATCAGAAATTTAAAATCTAAAAAGTATTATATATATAAAATCAATAAATAAGACGGAGTGATGCGGGAAACTCGTTGGTACTTCTAAATAGTTTTCTCGCTAAATTTGCTTGAGTTTTCGATAAGTGAGAATTAGAGAAATGAACAATACATTTGATGAAAATTTTAGTCTTTATATTATGCGGAAATTTCTGCTTTTATTGCAAAAAAAATGTTAGTTTTTCGATAAAATTAATTAATTTTAAAGAAAGTGTTGATTTATAGTGCAAACAGAAGAATTGTGCTCTTGGAGAAACTATTATTGATCCTTCGTGCGCACAAATTGGAACAAAATGTGGAACTAATATGATATTTCAAATTGCCGACAAATTGAAATCTTTCAACAGTACAGCCTTATTAACGAAGTGCATATTGCGCTGTGACTGTGACAGTGGTAATTTCATTGAGAAAAACGGCCAATGCATGAAAGTTTTTGATGAGCCAAATACGACTTTGAGTAATCTGCTCACTGCATCAAAACGCGATGTTAGTTTTTGCATGTTTATTTAGTTTGCATGTTTATTTAATTCAGATCAAGCCAAAGCAAAAGTAGAAAATGCCTATTTTTTTTTACTAATGCATGATCATAGCTAATTTTATAGAAAATATAAGGAGGTTCGCATATGCATCAAATGATTTATTATTATGGTAAATGTGCTAAGAAACTAGAAAAAAGTTCATAAAAGTAAAAATTTGTTATTAATTTTGCAATTAATGTTCGACTAATAAAAATAAGAATAAAAAATAAAAATAAATTTTTAATTCAAAATTAATTTTTCCAAATTCACTGTATTATAATTGTTTTTATTTTAGAAAAATTTTAGAAAAATTTTTGCAATGCCTAGAGTATAGTTCAAATGATCAAATATTGAACTAGTAAATAAATTCCTATAAAAATTTCTGTACTGTATATTTTTTTATCTAAAAAAATACAAAAATGCAAAGGGCAATAAATCCTTTGATTTCCACTGCTCTTCCTCAATTCCTACAGTTCTTCGTCAATGGTACTTCTTCGTCGCCTATAATAAAAATTTTAAATGAATTTAATAGCGAATCTATTTTTTTCGTAGAATTTTTTTGGAAACGAATTACGAATTATTTAAAATATTTCTTATTAATACTAATTATTCTTATTAATACTAATTTTGCAATATTAACTTTTTCCTCAAATCTTTAACCGCTATTTTCTTATACTATTTCACGTTCCTCTGTGTGATGAATGGAAATGATAACGGCATTTCGTCCCTTTAGGCGTCGTTGCTATATTTTCGCAAACCACTGCAATATTCATGTTTTCTCGATTTGTTATTATTGGATAAGATTGTGCTGGAATCAAAATGAGCATAATTTTTGGAACTTTCATTCATTTCTGTAAAGTTGAACTATCTATAGTGTCAGAACTTTATTTATTTATAACAGATCAACGAGCGAGCTCCTCAATATTCTATTTCTCTTATGCAATCTCACCATTCCATTCCATTTTCGAGATATCCTTTATTCTTTTCCATTCCTCACACGGGGATCTCAGGTCTTTTGAAATTTTTGTTTGTTTTGCTTCTCCCTTATAACATCGCCCAGATCGATGAGAATTAAGGAAATATTTTAATTTTTGTACGGTTATTATAATATATATCTTATTTTCGTCGCAATTATTTGTGGATAAACTTTTTGCTACTAGGACTCATTTTTCCAAAAGTATGATAAAATCAGCCAAAAATGATAATAAAAGTGAGACATGTGTAAATTGACTGTCATCATACCTGAAATAACCGAAATCCAGATTCTCTGCTGTCTAATAACAGTCCAAGAATTTATTGCCCCTACTCGCTTTGAAGGTCGTCCATAGTTCTATAAATGTAGTCATTGTATTGAACAAAGTTTCATGACTGAAAAATTGCTGTGCTCATACAACAACTAACTTCCAAAATATAAATATTTTGTAGTACAAACAGCAGAACCACGCTCTTGGAAAAATTACTATGGCCTTTCCATGTGTACAAGTTGGAAGAAAATGTGGAATTAATATGATATTCAAAATAATCGACAGAATGGAACCTTTGAGCAGTGCACCATGGTTAACGAAATGTATAATGAAATGCAGCTGTGATAATGATAATTTCATTGAGAATAAAGGGAAATGTGTAAAAATTTTTGATGATCGAATTACGATTTCAAGCAGTCAGCAGTCGTCAAATCAACTGGTAAGCCAGTTTTCATGCAAATCTATGCCAAAAAGAACCAAGGCAACTAATGCATTTTTATTATTTTTACTATTTTTATTTCATATTTTTATTGTTGAATATACAAAAACATTCAAATAACTTGGCTTCATGAAGATAAATTATAAACATTTTATTTATTTTAATTTTAGAATTTAGGCATTCGACTAATATTAATTAGCGCTACTTTTTTAACTTTCGATAAGCCTAAGCCTAACTTTTCATGCCATCGTTTCGTTATTGCAGTGTGGCACAAAAAATTGTTACAAGTTACTTTTGATCCTTCATGTCAACAAATTGGCAATAAATGCGGACTTAATATGGTATTCAATTTAATTGTCCAAATTCTTATAAATTCCTGCTTTATACGATGTGAATGTGAATATGGATTTGTCGAAAAGGATGGCCAATGTTTAAGGCATTCGATCTTTAGAGAGGTAACAACGACAAATGAGGATTTTATAGCATCCGAGTGAGTCATTTGTCATCTTTTCATAAATTTCGATAATCAAAAATTTCACCAAAAATTTGTCATCGCGAAATCTTAGGAAATATGGAGATGAAATTTTTTATTGCATGAATTTCCTCATTTGATGAAACTTTAGTTTGCCGAGAATTAATGAGAAATTTTACAATTCCGATTGCCGACAAACTCAGTTGGCTTGCGGCAGAAATATGAAAATAATTTCGATTTGGAAAAATCCCGTCGATCAGCAAAACCGATTTGCTTGCACACAATTCTGTGCGTGTAATGATGGATTTGTTGAAATTAATGGACGATGCAAAAGAGTAAAGCAATTTTAATAATTTTTGAATATTATTTTCTATGGTGAGATTATCGCTTTTGAATTATAGAAAATTATTGCCCATATATATTTTTCACCTATTTTTTGCATTTTCTACGCTATAATTAGTGGCAATGTTAATTTTCGACCGTCGAAAATCAGATTAAAAATTTTGTTTTATAGCCTCATTTAATAAATATTAATAAATTTTTTTTTTTAATTTAAAGCATATTAATAATTTATATTTGATTAGAGTAATGAATTTGAATTTATATTGAATTTCGGTTGTGTCGGTCATTTCTGGTTGGTTCCATTTATTTATGTTTATTATTGCGGTATTCTTTCTTTTGTCGGTTTTTTTTCACCATAAAATCGTTTCCAATTTGTGATAGATAAAATTTATGTCTCATATTAAGTTAAAGTGCCTTCAGAAAAAAATAATGGCAAATTTTTTTTCTAAGAATACTCACCATTAAATTTACTCTGCTGGTTTACTGAAGGCATTTAGAAATAGCTGGCGAATCACTTCTTGATAGAAATACAGATTAATCGCGATCATAACATCGCTCAGAGAGATTTATTCTTTCAAAAAAAAAGTTTATCTTTTATGGTACTTGGTTATTTAAAAACCTACTATCTTAGTTTTTTTTTTTTTTAAGATCAACCAATAGCAGAAAAGTAGTAATATTCTATCGTGTTAATATCACCATAATAAATTGATAAATGTTTTTCTTATATAATTAGTTCCTTTTTTTTAGTTATAAAATTCTATAAATTTATAAGTTTGTGAACACTAAAAAACAGACTAATCGTTTGCTACTGTTTTAATTTAATGCATACATTAAAAATATTGGAAATATTTCAGATTATTCGCATTACCTATCCGCATTATCCTAAATTTTCCAGTATCGATATCTTTTTCTCTATTTCCTATTAAATATTTTTCGTCTTTCATTATTCAGTAATTATTATTAATATTATTAATATTATTATTTTATAATTTTATATTGTTTAATATTCGCTCTATCAACATTAATTTTCAGCATCTTAATTCGCCTTTCTTCCTTAAAATTTTAGGCTTCGCTTAATTCTCGAGAAAAATAAAAATTGCATAATTAATTCATTCCAAGTAGTATCGACAATATAATAAAAAAGTTTTTAAAGTTTTATACAGAAGGAAACTCTCGTTTTTCACGCATATTTTTTCATAGTAATTCTTATAAAGATTTTCAGACGAAAGGATTCAAACTTTTTTGGTCATCATTGTTTAATTTAACCGAAAATAGACCTAAGATACGATATTTAAAATCTGGCATTTCCTCGATGGATTTGTATTAAATTTTTTATATAAGACGAAGAGTTTCCTTACGATTACGTAAATAAGTGTCATTACTCAGATACGTTAAAAAAAAATTTTAAACCATTTCAATATGTGCAAATTAGTAAAGAAGCACAATAAGTGTTTTCCAGAATACAAAAATGTCTATAATCGGGAAATAATCCGATTGAAATTCAACTAAAATATCATTAAATCTTCATTATTTTTATTCGTAATATTCGCATTGTACTACGTTAAAATATTGAACGTCAAAAATTCATAGCGTTTTACAATTCAATGCTATTTAAGCAAAATTCAACCACATTTATTTTTTTGTGTAAAAAATTTAAAAGTAAAGATAGCCGCTCATAAGTTTTATAAAAAAATAGTTAAATATATTTATTAATGGTTATCAATTTTGATTTGATATATAAACCAATAAAATTTAAATTAGAATTGCTGTGAAAACAAAAGATTTTATTATTTAATGCCATAAAGATAACAAAAAATATCACTAATATCATGCACCAAGTATTGTATTAGTTATAAATATTTTACTGCATATTTATAAAGGCACAAGTAAAATAATAAACAAACAATAAAAAATGGGTACCTATGACAAATTAAATGGTCAAGATAAAATGCATTTGAATATTTAATATTTAGTAAAAATTAATGAAGAAAATTATAGCCCCCCATTCCCCACTAAACGGTCCTATTTTTATCAAGTGGACATGTGAGGGAAATACGAAAGCGAATAATAATAATATACATCGAATTTTAACCAACACCTTGCGGTCATATCGACAATATTAGTGAAAAACCAATATAATTTAATAATAATTATAAATATCCCCATTAAGATTTATTGTCTTATCTATTTTGCCTAATCGATTATTTCCAGAATTTTTAAATTTTTATTCAAATAATAATTTTGGCAATTTTTATTCATAGGAAAGACAAAAATATAGAAAATTGGACGAAATTGTTGAAAATATATGAACGATAGATTTTTGATAAAATATATACATATATAATATAAAATAAAGCATTTTTTATCATAAAAAATTTCAGTTTTAGTGTTATATTAAGTAAAATATATGAAACAGTACAATGAAATAAAAATATGATTCAATTATTTTTATTTTACATATAATTATTTAACATTTTAGAAAAGATTTACAATATGTAGATACCATCAAATAAAAATCAAATAAAAACGATAAATTATAAGAATGTTAAAAGAAATATTTAACAAGCAAAATGCATAAATTGTGATAAGAAATCTTCCCCTGATAAAATCACATATCACTAAAAATCAATTTCATAAAAACTTTACAGGACGATTAAACAAGAAAGACTGCACATTTCAGTCGTTATTCTACGAAATTATTTGAGACTTATTTCATTAAAATGTGAATTCGACTCAAACCACAATTAGACAAAGAAACCACTTTTAATTTTACCACCGAACGTTGGAGAAGAATCAATCATTCGAGGAGAATAAACCGAAGGATGTTTAGATGGTTGAATAAAGCATGGTTCTGGCATATCATTTGCTCGTTGTAATGTAGTCATAGGCCTGCAAAAAAAAGAATTATTCAGGAAAAAAACTCGAAATCTATACAATAAAATATATTTAAATGGCTTGAAATG